GTATATACTTGTACCTAAATATATAATAGTAATAAGAAAAAAATAATATACGACAAAATAAAAGAGATTTGGAAAGCTCCAGTGTTCGTCAGGTATTACACGTGATGAGCCGAAGTACTCGCTAGAAGACAACGCGTAATGAAAGCGCGAATGCTTGTGTGAGAAAACGACCTTACGCACTAATGGATTAAAGTAGGAGGTGAAGCGGCTGAAGGATGACGTGAAGTATGGGCGGCCTTCCATCTTCTCGGCTCTTCGTAACAAACGGGTGGGCTGAATTGAGAACCACGAGAACACACTCATCGTCTAATAATAATATCTTGCTCAAATTTCTATTTTCAGGACGATAAGTGTGTATGTGTGTGTGCGTGCACGCGCGCGCGCACGGCTTTTATATAAAAAGCTGGATCGGCATCGACATGCGTGTGAGTGCGTATTACCGGGTTCGGCGAGCCGAGAAGCCGGATGAAGGGGTGGTTGAGAGGGTGGAAGCGGGCTGCAGAGAAGGGATGGAGAGAAGAGGGGGAGAGAGAGAGAGAGAGAGAGAGAGAGAGAGAGAGAGAAAGAGAGAGAAAGAGGGTGAGAGTGAGAATGAGAGCGAAAGTACCGGAAGCTAGCCATAGTTGACGTTACTGGATGGTCCGCACGCACTTTGTAAGTACGCTGGCAGTTTACTCGCGCGGGCAAATAGTCCGCGATGCGTAAACTTGTCGAGCTGGCAAATAACGAGCGCCTGGCTACACGAGTAAACTCGCGTTAGTGGGATAACAGAATGGCTGAGCGTAACGCCTCGGTGAAAAGAGGAGAAATAGAGATATCGCACTCACATGGCGCCTTGTGGGTGAGCGCAGTGTATAAAAAAATGAATAGCAAATAAATTGATTGTACAAATGAGGGCATGAGAGACTCTATTTTGCCGAGTTTAATCCCGCGTGCGTGCATACAGAAAAATACATAATGCATTGAAGTTTATGTTACTTGTTTTAAGTATTTTATAAATTTATATGTCCGCAAATATATCATGAGTTCATCATAAGCATCCAATTAATTCAGAATATATTCTGGATACTAGTAGCATTTTATTCCAATATTTCAATGAAGAATATTAAATTAAAACAAAAATTCGGGTTGCTTGCAAACCTATTTTTTCTTTGGTAAAGTCGGTTTTTTCTTTTATAATATTTTTTTCAATATCTGTAGTTTTCTTACATGATATTGTTATAAAAAGAATAAATTCTTCTTTTGAGTGCATTATAATGAGCTCTTCTAAAATTTCTGATGAACTAATCTTAAGACTATCATCAAGGAAATATTCCTCGTTGAGGGCAACCATTACTCAAAAGAAGAAAAGTAAACTGAGTAATCACTTTCCTTAGTTGCAGAATAATATTTCTCTGCGTGCGTTTATTATGCGTGTGTCACGTGTTACGATAAAATTTGCCACTTTTCAGATAAGAGGAAAAAGACGAACTAAGGGCCGAGATTACCCTTTCCTATTTTCCCCCACGATGCCATATAGTTTACCAACTTTGATATTAGTTCGCGGGCGCTAGAAATAGCGTCACGTCGCGGAAAGATATTCGATATTTCTATGTTAGGCATGTGCGTTGATATGTGATATAACCATGCTGCGTGCACAGTCATACGAGAGATATCCGTGTCGGGGCGATTTGACGATACATTTGCACACGATAATATAAAATCGATGAGACGTTCGACAGGTGTTCATCACATTTCCCGCGAATAATCATAGTAGTTTTGTTAATACGAGACTGAGAATTCTCAGCGGCGTCGTACCGTTATACATATTCGGCCGTTACATTACACTGTTAATTCCACCGCTTATATTAAGCGCTGGTGTGCGATAATAATTCGACGTTGTCGTCGTCGTCGTCGTCGTCTTCGTCGGCGACGGTGGCGGCTTCATAACCGTAAGCGCGGTTCGCTCATGTAGGCGAGCGTAACCATATACTTGCGCCTTTTACATAAAGACACGTGTGCGCGCGCACACTCTCACACACATATATCTCCCTAAAAATAGAAATTTGAGCAAGATATTATTATTAGACGATGAGTGTGTGCGGCCGCGCACGGCTTCGCGGTACTCACTGTGCCTCGTTACGAAAAGCCTAGTGAGTGCGAGAGAGAGAGGGAGAAAGAGAGAGAGAAGGAAATCAAAAGAGAGGGGGGAGAGACAGAAAGAGAGTGCGATCCCCTCGCTCTCGCACCATGTTCGCCCACGCTTGCTTGCTCGCCACCGACGAGAACGAGGAATCCCGTGGCTGGGACGAGGGTGCCTGAGGACGCGGAAAACACTCGCCGAGGCGCGAGGAATAGTACAGACCGGTCATGCTGAACATTCCTCAGCAACGCTTAACTAGGAAAAATATCTGTTTTTTTACTCCACCGTTTGATAAATGTTCGATCAAGTTCTCGAGCAATCACCGATATATTCCTACGATTATTCCCATAATGTTGGTAATTGTATATCTCGAAGGTAAAATTTTTCTCTTTCTACATACAAGGAAATTCTATTCCTGTTTATACATTATCAGATATTACGAATATCTTGTGTAATTAATCGAACTCTAATTAATCGAGCAATCAAGATTCGATGTTTAACAACCGCTATGTAAAAGAGAATTGAGATTGTAAATACTTATATTAGAGGGATGTGAAGGGGCAGCAGTAAGAAGAGCAGGAGGGAGAAGGGGAATATTTTAATAATCGATATCAGCGCGATAGCTGGTGCTGTTTCCTCGCTCGGTACGATACTTCGTACGTGTGATGTGCGATCCCGAGACTTAGACGACGATTGCTCGTTACACATCAGATACTCTGAAATTCGATCGTCATCATTAACACTCGCCGAAATTGTATTTATAAAGCCGTGGATATCCGTAGAAGAAAACGAGCGGTTGCGCGTGGGTGGCGTTCAAACGACAGCCCCGCATATTTTTGCCATGTCTCACTAACTGCGGACACTCTACGGGATTCTTCGTGTGTCTGTCTACCATCTGCGATGTATTTTTACACTTTTCGCCGCGACCGTAATTCTCCCCGAGGGCGGAACTTTCCGTCGCGGACTCGCGGTGATTTACACGTTCTAAAGTGGGTCAAATGGACTCTTTTGCTCTTATGTGGGCATAGTCCGTTCCGACGAGATCTCCAGTTTTCACAATTTTCCACCGTGGTCCACGGCTATTCGCGCTGAAGAAAAAGGGAACTCGGTTCGGAGATCCGAGAGTCAAGGACTTAGGTCGGCAATTTGGCATGTGGAATATGAAAAGTTTTTGATCCTTCGATTTCTCACGTTTATCTTCCTATATGATCGAACCCTCGTGTCGCAAGCGGCAGCATTTGTTGTCGATTTTATCATATCTCGATAATTCGCAGTTATGATTTATTAACGTTACTTTTTCTGATGAATTAAAGTTCCATCGGCTTGATCATGGCTAGCCAGAAATAAGAATATCGCGGTAATGGTTCACATTTATTACTGTCGCGACTAATACAGAACATAACACCGATCTGCGTCACATGTGTCACTCGCTAGACTGCGAGGCATCCCTGTTGCTTCCTTCAAGCAGACGAGTCATACTCGATATGTAGAGATCGACGATATGTAGATCATTGAGGTGTATCATGAATCAGCGCTTAAAAATATATGAATAAAAGTCTGAAATAAGTGTAGGACGAGTAACACGAGTAATGTCGGGTTGACATTAGTGGTGTATCTCTTTCGTATAATTTCGAGGCGTCGTTGGTGTATTTATTCTTGGACGTTTATTTGTCTTGTGTTTGGTTAATTTTATTTGTTTGATTATTCTTATTTTGTGCACAAAAATCATGAATCTTACGGGAGAATTCATAAGTATGATCACCGATTGATACAATTTATTTCGAATAATGTCACTTATTCTTAACGTTAAACTTATAAGTTGGCCAAGTCTGACTTTTACTAGAGGTAAAACTTTGAATAAAGTTAATTGAGGTATTTCAAAGGAAAAACATTTTCATCTAATATAATAGAAATAGAATGCAAAATATACATGAAGCTATTCGAATAACTTCTAGGAAAAGCAAGTTTCATATCAAATTATCAATTACTTTATTCATTCTCTTTTCTTCCTATATAAAACGTTATATATATATATATATATATAAAATCTTTTATTTATAATAAAATTATATGTGAGTTTGCTATAATCTTGCTTGGACGCTGTGCAGCAAGATATAGACATGTAGAATGCAACATGTAGAAAATTACTATGTTGCGACAATATGTAATAATGATAAATATAATTGCAAAAAAACCAAAGGGAAATCTTATTCCGAAAGTCATCTTTGAACAGTGAGACTCAAGTATACAGAAAGTATAAGTTTTATCGACGGACACATACTGTTTCGAGTTGTTTATTTTAATTACTAATTAAACTAAATTAGTTATAAATAAAAAGTAAAAAATACTGGTTGAACTAAATGATTAATTAGAATCGTTAAAAATCAATTCTCTGGGTAACGTCAATTGAACATTAAAATTTGAAATAATTGATTCTAGAAATTTGAACTTTCGAGAATCAATTTGCACATAGAAATGATTGCATTAACGTTCTTCCTCCGTATTGTATATTCTGCATCTATTAACACTGTTAAAAAATGAAGTTACTATTATTATTATTGTTACTATTGCTGTAGTTACTGTTAAAATTGTCTGGCAAGTAAGTTTATCATGTAAACATCGTCTGTAGATTCGCTGGACATTATCATCGCACTCAGTTATTCGTAGGTTCATCCGACCTTATCCCGTTGATGGAGAGTTCCCATTGCCCTTCGACGTCCACTGCCTCCATCGCTGTCGTTGCTAGTACGATCGCCGCCGCCGCCGCCACCACCGCCGTCGGCGTCGGCGTCGTCGTCGTCGTCATCGTCGTCAACAGCACTGACGTTCCCGATGCACACGTGCCGTGTGCAAAGCCCGGGCTATGACTAGGACGTACCCGACGCGAGCACAGTCATTCGAATCCAGTATTAGTGCGGTGTAGAGTGCTCGGTGTTTTGTAATCCACTTACTCGAATTGTTCTCTCTTTCTCTCTCTCCCTCTCTTTTTCTCTCTTCCTCTCTATCTTTTTTTCCCTTTTCTCGCGCAACTACGATCGATTAGTGGTGAGTATCCAGATAACGGTGTGGCGGATACGTACTACTACTGCTGTTGCTGTTGCTGCTGCTGCTGTTACTACTACTACTATTACTACTACTACTACTACTACTACTACTACTACACTAGTACACTGCTACTGCTACTACTACTACTGCTACTAGTCGTTACTATTGCTACCACTACCGATGACAATACTCTCTAGCCGCATGTCGACCGATGCCGTTATTACCACGTACGACCACAACACGGCGGCGAGATACGTGCAACATCTCCATTCGTAGCTCGAAGAAGTGCATGTAAAACTGCTCGTCGGGAACGTGATTTACCTCGGTCTCGTGATTTGTCTGTTTTCCTCGTGTTTTTCGCGCGCTTCGCAGCCGGAGGTTTGCCATCCGGGAATGGTGTCGCGCAGCTTACACATCCCAGAGATAGATCCTTGGACGTGTTATGCGTGAATCGGCACACACCTTGCTCCGATAATTGTCGAAATTTCTCACAAGACGGTGTATCCGATCGATTCTCCTATGAGAATCAGCTCGCAGTTTGCACTCAAACAGCGGTCCTTCGGTGGCAATCTGGGTCATTGAGCAAATTCGCCAACTTGTGTGAAATACCGATCGATCATTGTTTGGAATTAATTAACGATTGATTCGTAGAGATTATTAACTTAGAAATTATTAACAACTCAATTTACTCACGCGGTCTGCCCGACCACAATTTCCAGATTGGATGAAAAGCTTTTCGCGATTCCCGCGGCAATTCACCCTCACATTCAGTATTCGCGCAGTTTCTCAATCACTTACCAGAGGAAAAAGGGCGTGGGAAAGTCCATTCCGACTTTGAATAAACTCTTTTTTGAAGATCTTCTTTGCTACGATGTCTTGATGCTGTTAAAGAGTTTCTGGTTAAGCTAAACTCGAGTTTGAGGTGAAACTCCTCGTAGTCGTAGTTAATAATGTAGAAGGAAGATTCAGTTAACAGGAATTAGCGCTAATTAGCGCAGTCGGCTGTATAGATGGACAGGGTAAAGGGTGCCGTGATGTCTAAGATGGATATGGCATGATTGAACATCTAATGTCCTTAAGGTCTAATCCCGTGCAGCGATATTAAAATAGAGTCGCGATCACTCAACATAGATTCTGCATTACATTATTATTGGAATGTCGAGATATTAATAAAATCGATCAGAATCAAGCTGAGTTATGCTCGTTCGTGTCGTCGCATGTAGAGAACGCTGGAGAGCAAACAGAGGAGCAAAAAATGTAAACACGCGGAGAGAAGTAACAGATTTCCGTAACAAGTAAACTTCACCACCCAGAATCGATTGAATATAGTACACCAGACGTATATATTTTAACATCATACTTGGATTATTATTTGTACAATTTTCAACATAATTACGTATAATATGTATCATTGAAAATCAAAGGAAACACTAAAGTAAATTGTACTTATATCGGTATACATATTCTGTTCCAGAAAATTGAATAAATTATGTTTTCATTATGTTTTGTATATAATTGTGTAATATATATGTTTAAATTATGTTTTAATAATATAATAATAAAACAATCTTGAAACGTATATATGTGATGCTTGATGCAAATTTTAGTGCAATTTTATGAAATTTCTAACATTAGTGATCGTTTTGCGTAAAGAAGTACATAAGTAATTAAAATATGTATTAAGTATAACAATTCTCGACGATTTTGTAACGGATCACAAACGATACTCCTCTGCTAAAGTATTGCAAAATATTTCGGTGAATGTGTTTCGCATAAAAATGGAAATTAATCGAAGCATCTTACTGCCATGTAACAGTTATTATTATTACGTGCATCCGCGAGTCGCCAGCCTCGTTAATTTTAAAAATACGCACGCATTCCTGCCGCTATTATTAGTTATCGAAACTCAGTCCCCCTCCACCGACCGACGGTGCTAATCGAACTAAGTTATCAAATAAATCCAACGAGCGAAATATCATTATTACGTTAAACGAACGCAATTAATCGAATAGACTCGATGCTCATTTCGTAAAATCGTTATAACGTCGCTCTCTCGTAAGCCGATAGCTAATTGCAAAACGTGAGTCTGGATTAGAACATGAAGCTACGGACGAATTTACTAAAAGGCACTGTTATTTAAATATTTATGCAATAAACGCGATAAGTTTGCGACGTTCAAAAATACATTGAAAACGTCAATTTGTCGGAGACAACGTAGAAGAGGCTTTAATTTCTACGGTGGCTTCCAGCGAACAATTAATTCTATTATCTGTGAATCGATATGTACTTGCGGAGTAACGCTATAGACATGAATCAATGGATCCTCGCGTGACAATGTTTTGGTGCTTCCGTGCCGATTGTGATGCAACACGAGATATCATATTACATCTGAAATGTTTCACTGGACGTTGTAATTATACGTCGAGTCATTGCACGCTAAGATTTCTTTATAGCCCGAACTAATTTTAGGATCCTAGCTTAGCCCGCGGCTTCTGCTTGCTTATGTTATCCGGGTGTGATTTACGGGGCCAGTCTGAAACACGAGATGCCGCGATAATATTTCCAGATGTTCGCGAACGCAACGGAATTGTGCGAATGGCGAGAAATGAGAATTGCTTCCGATGAATCGTACCGTTTCATCGTGACTGCTTTACGGAACTGAATAATCATAATAATGAAGAATTCTTACATTCTTCGCGATAACTATATTTACAAAGTAAAATTTATTGAAAGTAAGATTGAAGAAAATATAGGGAAAAGAATCGCTCTTTGTTTCGCGATTAAATAAAGGAGACGCGATTAAATAAGGTGCCAATGAGAGCTTTCAAAGTAACTTGTTTTCCTGACTATAGATAGGAAGTTCAAGTGTTTTGTGAAATTAGCATCTATCACCATGTTGATAATTCACATCCGTTTGTTAGCGTAAGCACTTATCCACAACGCATGTTCGCAATTGTTCCTTGGCTGTCTATTTGCTTCTGTTGCAATTACAGCTCTTGTCACGCTTCGCGCTTACCTCAATCAATTATAAACATTCAATACTCGCGTTTTCAACTATTCGCACCAAACACGGTACATCGATCGATCGACACTTTTATCATATAATAAACTATTTTACAATCAATATATATATATATTCAGAATTTTCCAGTTCTCGCGATCTTAATTAATACCGACAGATTCTCTGAGCAATTTAGAATTAATTTTCCGTCATATCGAAAATATCGAAGATCATTATTCATGACAAATTTTCAATTTTCAGCACAACATATATTTTTAAATTAAAATTCTGTTAAAATAATGTCCACTTGAAATTGACGGAAAATAACAATTTTGTTGTCCATTTGGTCGTTCGAAGTTCAGTTTTTTCTCGATCGTTTGTGTCTCAGAAACAATTGGTGTCCCGGCAAGTCTTCTGAGGCAAGATTCACTCTAAATCGCTCGGAGAATTTGTCAGTATAAATTGAAGTTACGGGAGCTAGGATACCCTGTGTATAACAAATACATCGATATATAAATAATAAGATGTATGCTTTATATATCATGAATTCAAGTGAGATTCGATTTTTTATTTTCGCACATAACGTAACACAGTTTCAACATGTACAACGGCATTCCACCCGCGGCGTGGCAGGACACGCGCGAGTTGGGTTACACCGCGCATTCCATACGTCCACGAATATGCGTGCGATTGAACGGTAGGGGTAACGAGAAGACCGCTACCGCGCGGTACACCTAGCGCCTTCCCTAATACGGCCTCGCGAATTTGCCTGCACGCGTCTGCACGGATATAGATTTTCGCAGTCTCTCTGTCTCTCTCCTTCTCTCTCTCTCTTTCTCTCTCTCTCTCTCTCTCTCTGTCTCAGCCTACCTCTCTCTTTCTCACTCTCTCTTTCTCTCTACTACCACTCACGCACCCTATACAACTGTGCTGTCATTATTACTGACTGCTACTACTGCTACATCACTACTTGTCACATCACTACCGTCTAACTCTACTGCCAGTAGTATATTTGTATAACTAGACCAGACATGAAAGGCATACTGAACTTATCGCGAAAAACGCTATATAATGATATATTAGATGTATTAAACGGTGACATATTAAACGCTATGTACACGCCAAAAAGGAAAGATATCGGAAAAATAAAGAATACTTTTATTCGGTGGAAGTATACTATGATACATATTTTCTCTCAAATGAAAATTCTTTTATTTAAAACATAAAAATTCTTTTATTTAAATAGAATATCAGTTGCTTTCATGAAAAGCTTAAAAAAATAAGGTTTAAAAAGCATTTTCTTATTTGAAAAATATTTTTATTGGTATGAGTAAATATGTTATTGACACCGAAAAAAAACAAATATCTTTTATTTCTTAGATATTCGTTCTCTCAGTCCAGTGATATATTGAATAGTGGTATATATTAAATGTTATAGTTATATGTTAAATAGTATAGTTTTAACGATCCACTCGTACGCGCATACTATATATTTCTTAGCGTATCCAGTTGTCAGTACCGTCGTACTCGTATTTTTATTGCGGAATACTATCGCCGCATGTTAACGACGACAGTATATTACACTCGTCGTACGTCGCTGCCAAGTGTACGCTCATCTATTATTCCGCTGCCACAACTTTGCTTACTACTCGAGCGAAATATTGTTGTTGCGGATACACGATTAATTGTCAGCGCTGCCAAATGCTGCTACGCACGCCCCTGTTAACATTCGTGCCAGGTTCCACGACAAGTCTGTCAACGTCATTCGCTGTTTACTCCTACACTTTCGGCAACAATGACAGAGAATGTAAACAGCTATTTCGAATAATGGAGGATTTTTTTTATCAGTCATTAAAATCACTAACGTATCCTGGCAAACAAATAGTAATTATTTGCAATACACATTCACACGGAAACGAGAAGATCTTTTCCCTGCTGATCCGATCGTTTTTTTTTAATGCATTTTGGAGGTAGTACATAAAAAGTCGAAAACCAACAATAGAGGAGCTTTGCGGTAATTCGATACGAGAGATATCCGTTCTTATTTACATGCTCAGTACCGCAAATCCGTTCGACTCTCTAGCATATACCACGCTTGAAATACTTTTCTTCTCCCTTTCTACATGCTCCATCCCTCCACACGCTCCAATCGTGCGCGCGCCTTAAGCTGGCCACAGAAATAGAACTAGTTGCCGACGAGTCGGACGAAAATGCAAATTGTTTACGTCCTCATAAGCGGTCGGTTAGGTAACCGAGATGGGTTACCGTACCGGCGACGAACACGCCTCGGTATTAATAAAGATTTGATTCAACCCACCCTCGCGAATTTTGAATCTCGAAATCGTCGACCTTTCTTGCGGGAAAAATTCGTCGTGACGCTTTCATTCCGACTACTTCTACAGTTAAACTTTTTCTAAAGAATAAACATTTCTTTCGCTACGTATGCAATTATACAAGACACTAATTAATTAATGTAAATAAAACTTTTATTTCAATGTATATATTCTTTTCTATGAGGATTGCATTAAGCTTATTCTCTATTATTATATTTAAATATTATGTTTAAATATCGAATTTGAATCCAGTCTAAAATGAGTTTACGACTGCGTTTCTGACAGATTTAATTTAATAACTTTAATAGCTACAGTAAAAAATCAGAACTTTGTAATCGAAAAGTTCTATTATGTTCGGGTGAAAATTATTCAAACGGTGTTCGACGACATGCATGAAATAGTTCACTGTATTGACAAATTGACACTTTTTTAGTTGCGTGTGTGTATATACGCATGCGTATGTTATTAAAAAATAACAATTGATATAAAAATAATATCGGTTTGACGTAACGTGACCTCGCGACGAATAATTGATATAACGAGAGACACGCGAGTAACGAATTTCTCTTCTTTGTTGCAGTATAAAAATGCCTTTCAAGCCGGTGGAACACCCAAAATGCCCTAAATGTGGCAAGTCTGTTTACGCTGCGGAAGAGCGAGTTGCCGGTGGACTGAAATGGCACAAAATGTGCTTCAAGTGCGGTGAGTAAGCAAACATACAGTTTCATATGATACTAGAAGGGACATGGACGAATCTTTTCTCATTTGTATACAATAAATCAGTAAATCATAAACGCTGATCGTTTCGCGATCCATGGAAGCAGAGAGAAGAAAAGATACACACGATAAATGCGATACTTTTCTCAAAGTAATGGAAGTTTTCTTTCATCGAGATTTTACGTTTTCCTTAATTCGAAGTATTATTCCTCTGACCTTCTTGTCTAAGTAGACAATAGACCAAAAAAAGAAAAGTACCTCTTTTAGAAAACATAAAAGTTTAAAACTATACGAAATAAATCAGAGTATTTGCGTTGCGAAATTGCTCTTCAAATAATCATACCCTTAAAATTGGTTTTCTTGGTTAAGACGTTTTTCACTGTAAGTTAAAAATTTGCGATGGGATCACCAAACGCGGCCTCATATGTCCATTACGGGAGACATTATCGAATCTTCTATTCTTAGGTTGGTCTAAAATAAATTTTATGCTCGGATAATCCGTCGCGCGACTGTAACCAGGCCTGTGTTGGCCAAAAATCAATTGATGGCTGTCAGGTAACGATTCCGGGTGCAACGACCAATAATTCGTTAATAATTCGTAACAATCCCAGTATCGGGCAATTATGTTTTAAAGGCGCTATGTATACATAGTAACTATTTCTAATATAGCATAATTATTGCCAATTTTGACGAATGAGGCGTAAGTAATTATTCATGTATTTCGTAATCATATTACAATCGATCGCGAGAGTGTATCTTCAATGTTTTGTTGCGTATTAAAAAAGGAAGAAAAATACATTACAGGTCTGCAAAAAATATATACGTGATATCTTTAAAACATATTACACACATATTTTTCGTTACTATATTACACTATAAAGGCAACTTTCTTAGCTGAAAACACTTATTCGACGTGCTTCGAGTATCGAGGTGGCCAGCTTGTTGATTGAGCGTTAAGCTGACTTTATATGACATGGCAAATGTATTCCAACGTTATCTAATATGATATTGATCATGTCATATGTATACAGTTTTTAGTTGTTCTATTTTGTAATTATAGTTGAAGCACTCCCCCGCATGTGTCATTTAGCTCAAGTTTATAGCGGCTATTCCGCGGGATTGGCACATATGATTTCTGAAAAGAGACTTTTGTATTAACCCAACATTGGCCCTCTCCCCCCAGTATTCGCGGCCAATGTCGGACTAACGTTTGTTTACATGCCATCAGAAGCCGGCTCCAAGCAGCGTCAAACGTAAACACTAGCTCCGTACGCATTGCGTATGGTCAGCTTATTCCGAGAAAACATACATGAAACACAGAAAATCGCTGAATCAGAGTTCAGATTTCGTTCCCCTTTCTTTAGCCTTCCTCTCAGCAGGAATCTGACAGAAGGCCAAGAGAAAGAAAGAGAGAGAGAGAGAGAAAGAGAGAGCGAGCGAATCTCGATTCCGATTCAACTATTCTCTCCCAGTAGACATGTCAAGACACATCTCGCAATATACCGACACTTCGTGTTACGTCCCGACACCCCCCCCCCCCCCC